GACCCCATGGGTCGTCCAGAGGCCCCAGCCGTAGAGCGTTAAAGGAGCATCAGTTAGCAGGTCGAATCCAAGCCACAGTGTGTGTGGACTCTGGTAACCGACACTCCTTTCTGTACCACATACACGTGGCTGCCTGTTCCCGGCGGCTTTTGCATTACATGTTGTGATGAGCCAATGACCAAAAGCACCTGTTTGCTCTTTTAGGTCCTGCTGGTCGGGGCGGCCGACTTCACGCTGCTGGGCAAGCCGCTCCTGGCGTAAGTCCCACCGCGTGCTGGGCTGCGTCCAGGCCAGGGCTGGCCATACACACGGTGGATGCGGGTGGTTGGACGGGAGGGGTGACAGGTGCCCACTGTCCACACTGGCCATGGCGTTTGCACTTAAACAGTCAGCCGGGCTCGGTGGCTCGGCCTGTAATCCCACACCTTGGGAAGCTGAGGTGAGTGGCTTGCCTGAGCCCGCGGGTGCGAGACCCTCCTGGGCAAGCGAGACCTCATCTCTACAATAAATCAAAAAATCAGCTGGGCGTGGTAGCGCATGCCTGTAGTTCCGGCTACTTGGAAGGCTGAGGTGGAAGGATCGCCAGAGCCCAGCAGGTGGAGGCTGCGGTGGCCGGGAGCGGCCACTGCACTCCAGTCTGGGTGACAGAGTGAGACTCCAACTCAAAAAAAAAAAAGAAAGAAAGAAAGAAATTCTCACCCAAGACGCTTATAACATTGAAAAATAACCAGGAAGGTATATCATTGTTTGTTTTCTTTCCTTCTAGAAGGGACCTTGTCCGAGTAGAAGCCACAGTCATTGAGAAGACAGAATCATGGCCAAAAATCAACATGAAATTTAAGAAAAGAAAAAACTTCAGGAAGAAAAAAAGTAAGCTAGGCAGAGTGTAGCTGGCACCACCCCAAGGTGCAAGTTGGCCAGGGGCAGCCAGGGCCAGGGCGTGGGCAGGTGGGCCTCAGGGGAGAGCCCAGCAGACCTCAGTCCCACGGCTGCCGCGCACCGTCCAGCCTCGTCCCAGAGGGGCCTCCTGACAGCCTGGCCTCTCGCTTCTCCTCTGCCGCCATGCGTGACCTGCTTTGTTCTGTCCCGTGACACCTGGCGTTGCCCCAAAGGGCAGTTCATCCACGAGCAGATCCAGACAGTCCTTGCAGGGTCTTCCCTGAAGGCCTGGGACTCCGGGGCCATGGGCCACACACTGGTGAACGGCTGCAGAATCCAGTGGCTTACAGCTCTGGGTCCCAGGGCAGTCCTAGCCTAGCCCTCTTCTGGCGACGTCATGACACCCACCTGGACGGCAGCATTGCCTGTCCCCTTAGAGTCAGGTCAAGTGCTTTCAGTACTTGAGGCAATCCCCAGTGGGGTCAGGTGGGCTGTCCCACCCCTCATGGGCCAGGGCCACAGTGTGAAAGGGTCGGGGACACTCCTGGCCACCAGGCCTCGTGTTCCAGACTCTGCAGCTGCCGGCGGTCGGTAGACCCGTGAGGTAAACATGGTGGGGAATAGCCAGGCTCGGTGGCTCAGCCTGTAATCCTGCGCCTTTGGGAGGCTGAGGTGAGTGGATTGCCTGAGCCCGCGGGTTGGTTCGAGACCCGCCCGGGCAACCTGACGAGACCTCATCTCTACAATAAATCAAAAAAATTAGCCGGGCGTGGTAGCATGCACCTGCAGTTCCAGTTACTTGGAAGGCTGAGGCAGAATGATCGCCAGAGCCCAGCACGTCGAGGCTGCGGTGACCAGGAGCAGCCACTGCACTCCAGTCTGGGTGACAGAGTGAGACTCCAACTCAAAAAAAAACATGGTGGGGAACATCACCAGGCCATGCTGCCTGGGGGCTGGAGCTGGCAGTGTGGGTGTGCAGAGCCCTGTGCTGCAGCCATGGCCAGCCCGTGACGCCAGCTTCTCTCTTGCAGTCATTGTGACCCCGCAGACCGTCCTCCGGATAAACACCATCGAGATTGCGCCGTGTCTGTCGTGATCACCGAGCTCATGTTTGCAGATGTCCACAAGTAAACTTCCTTTCCAGGGACACTGAGTTTCAGGGTCTGATTTGAAAAGCCGTGCGTGCCTGTGACGCGTGGATTGACTTAGCATCGTGTCCGTGAGCACCAGCCCCCCCACCCCCAGGCCAGAGAAAACAGGAATTCAATAAGGAGGCCAGTGCGCCCTCCAGGGCCTTGGTGGCCCCCCACACAGCAGGGCCAGGAGAGTGGGCGGGGATCAGCCGGGACCGAAGCTGACATCAAGAGAGGCGAAAGCTAGCATCCGCGGGTGACAAGAACAGGACGCGCTCCATCTCAGGGTGATCAAAGCAGACCTGTTTAGAAGAGCTGGAATTCAGAGCAGGCAGGGGGCCTGGGGTCCCCGTCCACGTCCTGGGTTTCGCTTGGCCAAGCAGGGAGCTGGGACCACGCCGTGGGGTGGGTGGCGCCCGGACTGCGGGCACACAGCCTGCAGTCCTTGGAGAGTGGGCACAGCACATTCTGTGGGACACTTGTGAGCAGAGCAGGGGGCCCAGGAATACTCGGCCCTGGAAGCAGCAGGGCTGCCCAGGATGGTGGGGGCGTGGGGCTGGGCAGGGGGCCTTTTGGGGAGCAAAGCCAGGTGAGAGGGGCAAGGTCCTGGCCCAGGTGGCTGGGGATCCAGCAGAGAAGGGCAGGTGAGGGGACGCGGGGCTCTCGCGGGACCGGGGGACCTGGTTTGGTTCATTCTCAGAGACGGGACCGTCCTCTAAAAGGAGGGTCATCACACATCAGCAGACACTTCCCTCCCGGTGTCCCAGGAGCCCATGGCGAGTCGCCCTGAGACCTGGAAGTGAGCACGGAAGACAGTCCTGCACCCTGAGCCTTGCCTGCTGCTCAGTGGCCCTGGCGGGTGCTGGCCCAACACCCCTGTGGTGACCTCTGCATGCAGCAGGCGACGCTGGCCCCGCCAGCCCTGCTTGTCCGGGCAGCCTGAACAAAGGGGAGACGCTGGCCTTTGGGGCTCGTGCTGGTTGGGGCGATGCGGGGGGAGGGGTGGAACCGGGCCTCTGAGTCGGGGGGGCTCGCGTATTTCACACGGCCATGTCTGGGAGTCTTAATAGATTTCTTTCTTTTTTTTAAATACAATTTTATTTATTTTGGTGGGCATGGTGGTTCGTGCCTATCATCCCAGCCGGAGGACTGCTTGAGCCCAGGAGTTGCGACCAGCCTGGACCACATGGTGAGACCTGGTCTCTACAAAAAGAATTTAAAAATTAGCCGGGTGTGGTAGCGTGCACCTGTAGTGCCAGCTACTCAGGAGGCTGAGGTGGGAGGATCGCCTGAGCCCAGCAGGTCGAGGCTGCGGTGAGCCATGATGGTGCCACTGCGCTCCAGACTGGACCACAGAGTGAGACATGGGCTCAAAGAGTAAGTAAATCGGGGGAGGGCTTATCGGCTGCCACAGCCTCACCCTCTGCCTGTGGCCCCCGGGGGCCTAGCCACAGGACCACCAGTTTTTAGCTTTCGTCCCAGGGTTTCCACACTCCGGGGCCTCAGAACCCTGAGGCCACGTGCCATCTCGCCAAGACAGGCCACAAGCCTGCAGCAGCTCATGAGACACGAGACGTGCACAGCCAGCCGCGTGCCTTCAACCCGTTTCCTGCGCCAGACCAACTGCCTGCGTCCCTGGTGGACACCGTCCGGCATCCCCGCCTGGTGATGCTCCCGGAAGACACAGGCTCCCCCTCGGGGACTGAGGCCCTGTGGATGGTCCCCAGCTGTGAGGGCCAGACCCCCAGGCTGACAGCACACGTGTCCCATTGTCTCTGGGACAAAATGATGATCTCAGGGACGAAAGTCACTTCATTGAGGGTTTTTGTTTCAGTTTGTTTAGTTTGAGAGACAGGATCATGCCCTCTGTCACCCAGGCTGGAGTACAGTGGCATTGTCATAGCTCACTGCAGCCTTGACTTCCTGGGCTTAAGCAATCCTCCCATTTCGGCCTCCCAATTATCTGGGACTATAGGCATGCACCACCACACTCGGATAACTTTTTGTTTTTTATTTTATGTATTTTTTGAGTTGGAGTCTCATTCTGTTGCCCAGGTTGGAGTGCAGCGGCACCATTACGGCTCACCGCAGCCTCGACCTCCTGGGCTCAGGCGATCCTTCCACCTCAGCCCTCGAGTAACTGGGACGATGGGCATGCACTAGCATGCCAGGTTCACTTTTTGATTTTTGCAGAGACGGGGGTCTCGCTGTGTAGCCCAAGCTGGTCTTGAACTCCTGAACTCAAGCAGTCCTCCTGCCTTGACCTCCCAAAGTGCTGGGATTACAGGCATGAGCCACTGCACTCAGCCAATGGATTATTTGAAAGTAAAATCACATCCCGTGGGGGCTGCCAATAGTGTTAGCTGAGTGTGTTCCATATGTACCAGACCCTGCCTGTGCTAACTCTTCCAAAGCCCCTTCCTAGCCACCCTGTGATGGGGGTCCTGGCATGATTTCACCCCCAGAGAGTCTGAACCCCTAAGCTTCTGGGGAGTTGCCCCCGGCGGCTGTTTAGAACCCTCTACTATGTTTGTCTGTACGGGCCACAGTCTGCTGCCGTAACAAATAAACCCACATGCTCAGGTTCCATTCGGTCCCCAGGAAGCCTGGCGCAGGTGAGGTGACTGGTATAATGTGAAGGACGTGTGTGCCCTGTCCCCTATTCCTGGCCTAAACTCAGGCCTAAACTTGGGATTTCCAGAGTGATAGGAGTGTCTTGTTATTCATAAGCACCCTTTCTGATCACACCTGAGTTTATGCTCATGAGATAACTTAGGGCAGGGCCTCTAAATCACCTCAGGATTGTAGGGGGGTGGCCCCCCAGAAAGACCAAGTGACTCGAGGGTTGGAACTTTCAGCCCCTTCCACTGACCTCATGGAAGGAGGAGGTGGTGGCTACAGATTAAACTCATAAACTCTTGGCCTGTTATCCCAGCACTTGGGGAGGCTGAGGCAGGAGGATTGCTTGAGCCCAGGGGTTGGAGACCAGCCTAAGCAACGTAGCAAGACCCTGTCTGTACCAAAAAAAAAAAAGAAAGAAAGCCAGGCATAGTGGCATGCACCTGTAGTTCCAGCTACTCAGAAGGCTAAGGCGGAAGGATCACTGGAGCCCAGGAGGTTGAGGCTGCGGTGAGCTGCGATGATGCCACTGCACTCCAGCCTGGGTGAAAGAGACCACGGCTCAAAAAGCAAATTCATAGCTCTCCCCCCAGACCTGCTGACTGTTAGGACTCTGTTGTGTGATGAGGACCCTGTGAAGATAAAACCCAGCCCGGCCTTCTCCTTGAGAGAGTGCCTGCTTCCCTGCCAGACACCGTCTCTTCCCGCTTTGCAAACTGACATTTTCAGTAAAGCTCTTCTTTCTTGTTCCATCCTGGGGGTCTTTGGAGGCCAGGCCACCGGCCACAAAGCGGACCCCCAGGGACAAAATGATGCAGGGACAGCAGAGAGTGTAAGACCTCTGTCACCCACTATGGGAAAACCCAGAAACTCCTGAAACCAGGCGGTGCGGTGGGAAGGGACCGTGGAAAGTCATAACGTGGAGTCAGTTTACCCAGCGAACAGCCATTTTAACACTGCCTAGTTGTCCTGTTTCTCTAGCAATTCACTTTGCCCTCAGCTGCCAGCCAAGGACAGAGCCAGTTTCTCTGAGGTCACCTTTTTTTTTTGAGTCAGAGTCCTGCTCTGTCGCCCAGGCTGGAGTGCAGTGGCACGCTCACAGCTACCCCATCATTGACCTGCTGGGCTCCGGCGATCCTTCCGCCTCAGCCCTCCAAGTAGCCAGAACTATAGGCGCACGCTACCGCGCCTGACTAATTTTTTGATTTTATTGTAGAGACGCGGTCTCGCCAAGTTGCCCGAGCTGGTCTCGAACCCGCGGGCTCAGGCCATCCACTCGCCTCGGCCTCCCAAAGTGCTGGGACGACACAGGAGGTGGGACTGGGCCCTGGTCCCACTGGCAGCAGCGACCTCCTCCTCCTCCTCCTCCTCCTCCTTTTTCTTCTTTTTTTTTTCCCTGAGTCAGGGTCTTGGTCTGTTGCCCAGACTGGAGTGCAGTGGCACACTCACAACCACCCCAGCGTTGACCCGCTGGGCTGCGGCGATCCTTCTGCCTCAGCCTTCCAAGTAGCCGGAACTACAGGCGGGTGCTACCACACCCAGCTACAATAAAGTTTTTAAAATTTATTGTAGAGACAAGGTCTCCATGTTGAACCCATGGGCTCAGGCAATCCCCTCAACCTCAGCCTCCCAAAGTGCTGGGATGACAGGCTTGAGCCACCACTCCCTCTGAGGTCACTGTTGGATCATTATCTTACAGCCCCCCCTCCCCAGCCTGTTTTGTACTAATTGACTTTTTTTTTTTTCTTTTTTTGAGTCAGAGTCTCACTCTTGTCACCCAGGCTGGAGGGCAGTGGCACACTCGGCCACTGCAGCCTCAACCTGCTGGGCTCCAGCGATCCTTCTGCCTCAGCTTTCCAAGTAGCTGGAACCACAGATGTGTGCCACCATGTCTGGCTACTTTTTTTGATTTATTGTAGAGATGAGGTTTTGTCAAGTTGCCCAGGCTGGTCTCGAACCCCTGGGCTCCGCCTCCCAAAGTGCTGGGATTATCGGCGTGAGCCACCGCGCCAGGCCTAATCAGCTTTTCTATTTCAAGTATTTGCCTCCACCCGTAAGCCCCAAATTAACCTAATCAACCCTTTGTAACCTTCATGACACAGACCCAACCACCATGGGACTGACCCTCCCATCTGTCTGCCGTCCATCGCCTACCTGTACTCACCTGTCCCTTCTGTGATGACATGGCGCAGACCACCACCCAACCACCTTAATGACCTGCCCCCATCAAAGGGAAGATTTAAAAGGCATTCGACTTCAAGCCGGGCGTGGTGGCTTGCACCTGTCATCCCAGCAGTTTGGGAGGCAGAGGCGAGAGGATTGCCTGAATTCAGGGGTTCGAGACCAGCCTGGACAACTTGGCGACACCTCATCTCTACAGTAAATCAAAAATTAGCT